GAATTTTCGGGATTAGGTTATATCGTCGAAAATTGTTTTGTGATCGCTTGGCGAGGCTTCCAATTATGTGGTGGTCGATATTCGGTACTATCCCTAAGCTTCGTATATTGTTCGTCTTGATAACCGTTACTCAACAACGTCCTAACAATGTATAAATCAGAAGACGAATACGAAGGGTTGATCGTGTTTATTACTGAACCACACACAGTTATCCAATATTACAGCTACGTCAAGCAAGCATGAAAAAGCAGTGCCGTAGAGCCGGATGAATGAGTAAGCGTGTACAGTACGGTGTAGCGTAATACAGAGCGGAGCAGAGAGCAAGCAGGGCAAGGTAGTTAACAGAATAAAGATGTACAAGTGAAAATGAATAAGTGGAAAAGCATGAATCATCGGATCAAATAAGCGATTAATAATAATGCTAGCAGAATGAATACATGCGTAGGCAGTAAGCAATGTTCAAGCGTATATAATAAAAGTACAATAGTATAGATAGGTTGTTATTGTATGAATGACTGTCCATTAAATAAGTTAACAAAAGGGCTTAGCTGAATTAGATGTAAACAAACTCAATTGTATCTGAGTTGCTATAAGGCTATAAATATAGATTAACGCTTGATTAAATTGAGTTGGCATACTTGTCTTCTCCATCGCTCATCATTTTCTTTCGCTTCTCTTTCCAATCAACCAGTGTATGGAATGTACGTGTTCAAACTTCATTCTCGTATTCAATTTATTTAATCCCCTTATTCAACAATGCGATTTAAGTCAATATTGAGATAGTGGAGATGATTTGTAGCTCAGGTGGATGTTTTTGTTGGTGTTTACTTCTCTGAGCTGGATGGTTTGGTCGTGAAGCTGTCATCGCCATTCTGAAGGACATCATCAGCACAAACTTCGGGTAGAAGTGAAATGTTCGAATTTCTCTACATGTGATTCACAGCTTGTCCTGTACACTTCGATGTTGATTGTTTATTCATACTGCACAATTGTATTTAAGGTTAATTAAAAAATAAAATAGTTTTTTGAAAAAAATAAAAGGACTACAATATTTCATTTTTACAGTCCTTTTGAACCCTCAGTACTTATGCAATGACTCTCTGTAGCATTCGTAATTGTTTGTGGGTAAAAGTAGAGTAGTTGATTAGGCGGATCTCAACCACCCACATTCCCGCTGATGTTAGTACATGGGATGGTTGCTATGGTCCAGGATAATTGTTCATTTGATGAATGAGTTTTAAAAAGGAAATAATGGTTATTATAAAATAAAGAAATAATAAATTAATGATGGAAAGAGGCTACAATAAAAATAACCATTAGAAGGATGTAATTAAAAATCAAATTGCAGTCTATGAGAATAAGGTCAGTCAATCAGTCAGTCACAACGTAGAACTTCGTACGTACGTACGTACATCAGCTCGAGTTGCCATGCTACTTCAGCACAGAGATGCAGTTTTCGATTCAAATCCCATAGTGGTAGAATTAGTAGCAGTATAAGCAGTAATCCGAAAGATCAGGGTTTGAAGAGGTTATTTAAGGAGTATAATCCAGTGAAATAAATTTGAAAAGAGAAAAAAGATAAGACATAAAGAATTCAGAAGATTAGAATTTGGGAGAACACAAAGAGTGGATGCACCTTCGCCATTGCAAACGATTTTGAGACATGTCATTCAAGGTGTCTAATCATCGATTGCTATCATCTCGCGAATCCCAACCAGTTAGTCTACACCTACCAACATGGCTTAGTTCACTTGTCAGTGTTTTCATGGATTTGTGCCACATGCTGGTCCGGCCACCCCTATCTTTCTTCCGACTTACTCCTACACCATAAAGCATTTCACGTCGGGACAGTCGATGGTTAGGCATACGTGAAATGTGTCACGGCCATCTCAACTGATGAAGTTTCACTTCTTCATCAATCGATTTACCATCCTTACCTAGTACCCGTTTCGTAACAACTGCATTACTTACTCGATTGTCCCAGGATTTACGATCAATTCTTCGAAGAAACCTATGGTCGTATACTAATAGCCAACGTATTTTGGGGCAGTCGGTTGTTCAGCATACGTAATATATGTCCCAGCAACACACGAGATCAAGTTGGCCACATTACACTGTTTCATATATCAAAGGAAAGTCATATACTCGAAAGACAATTGCTTATTTAATGAATATAAGAAAAAGTGAAGAGTGAGTTTAAAATAGACATAACGGTTATTATAAATAAAATATTAAAATAATGGAAAGAGGCTACAATAAAAATAACCATTAGAAGGATTTAATTAAAAATCAAATTACAGTCCATAAAAATAAGGTCAGTCAATCAGTCAGTCACAACGTAGAACTTCGTACGTACATACGTACGTACATCAGTTCCAGTTGTCATACCACACATTACAGTCTATGAAAAGAAGCAAAAAATTCGATTTTAAAAAAAAATATTTTTGTATTTTTGCTTATTCTTTTTTTTTGCTTTTTTTTCTTTTTTTTTTCTGAAAAAAATTGTAGATTTAGTCACGTAAACCATAATATACAAATAAAACTTACTAACTTTGACCTTTCCATTTTGATTTCCTTTTTTTAATCATAAACATAAAATTCATTAATTATCCACTAGAAACTAATTATAAACATTTAAGAACTAATGGAGATCAACAAGAGATTTGCCACTCCTAAGTTATGTGATTATTAACATTCATCAATGAGTTACATCTGTATTCCTGAAAGGACTTTTAGATCTTGTAACGTTCATATCCGAAGTATGTAAGTTTATAGTCTTAGCTAGTTGGACCTTGATTGATCTTATTCTAAACGAAGATATTTACTAAAATAGTTGGCTGAATAGTTGTCTAGTTCATAAAACACAACAATGCTGAATCGAATTCTTAAGCTGAGTGAAACTGAGTGACGCAGGATCGAATCCGTCAGGGAGCATTAGTTCCGTCAAGATTACAGGTACACCTTGCTGATGAGTGCCGAATAGTACGAAACCCAGGTCAAAGGTTTCCTGTTGGCCACCTCCAACCACCATCTGAATCGAATCCTACTTGGAAAGTTATTTCCTTTTACATTACAAGTACGTCTTACCAATGAATTTTAGCCATTACGAAATTTAGGCTAATAGTTTGGTTTCAACTGCCTTCAACTATTTAATATTAAAGCATACTCAGTGGAATTGGGAACGAACCCGACTACTATTTTTACTTACTTACTTACGTTTGTTACCCTCAATAGAGTATAGGCCGCCGACCGGACTACTATCCTTAATACGACTTAATTAACAGTTCTACTTTACAATGATTAAATATGACAATGGTCACTATTCACTGATCAACCAATATTTTTTTTAAAATAAAAAAATCTATACCATTCATTTACTTTGATAAATATAGATAGTGAATAAAATATATGGTATTTAATGTTACATTATTTATTCCTACAAGTATCAAGGGATACTTAATTACTTACCTACTTACGCCTGTTATTCCGCGTGGAGAAACATAGGCCTCACACCAGCAATCTCCATCCAACTCTGTCCTGAGGAATCTTTGCCAGTTCTTTCCAGTTAACATTCATCCTTTTCATATCTGCTTCTATTTCCCGGTGTAATGTATTCTTTGGCCTTCTTTTTTTTCACTTTCCTTCCGGATCCAAGTAAGGGATTGCCTTGTAATGCACACTGGTGATTTTCTTAATGTATATTCGATCCACTTTCAAAGTCTTTTCCTAATTTCCTCTTCAACTGTAAACTTATTTGTCCTCTCCCATAAAACGCTGTTGCTGATAGTATCCAGCTAGTGAATGTTTAGTATTTTGCGTAGACAACTGTCTATAAATACTTGTACATTCTTGACAATGGTTGTAGTAGTTCTCCACGTTTCAGCTCTGTACAGTGGGACTGACTGTTTCGATGTTCGTTTTGAAGATTCTCACTTTGAAATGAGTTGTCAGTTGTTTTGAGTTTCATATGTTCTTCAATTGTAGAAATGCTGACCTTGCTTGGCCAACTCTCGCATTTATATGTGCATCCGATCCTTCTTGTTTATCAACGATGCTTCCCAGATACGTGAATGTTTCCACATCTTCCAGAGCTTCTCTATCAAGTGTGATTGGCTTGGTGTTCTCCGTCTTGTATTTGAGAATCTTGCTTTTTCCTTTGTGTATGTTGAGGCCTATTAATGAAGAGGCTGCTGCTGCTACATTTGTTGTTTCCATCTGCATTTGTTTGTGTGTATGAGATTGGAGGGCAAGTATCATGGGATAATATCATTAATTCATATAATTTACAAAATTTCAACATTTTCAATCCATGATTTATTACTGTCTCATCCTCATCCTAATAGGTGGCCTACTTGAACATCTCAGCCACTTGTTCCTGTCATCTAGACATTTCAACAACTTATCTAATTTTGTTTATTTTAATACATCATTATGGATATTAATCGCATAATCTATTCAGATGAGTTTCTGAAAAGTATACAACCTTTCACTGTACAAGATATCATGGTTACTGATTTCGTTTGACCGGACTGTCAACTTCTAATTGGCGATCACTCAATATTTATCGTCAAGAACGATCAAGAAATAAGAATAATAATACATTGCACTGATAATTCTATAATATAGATCAGAAGGGGGGGGGTTTTGTGGATATTTCAATATTTTCATAGTTGAAATCATGAGTTAATTGAAGCTATACCACCATCCAAAACCTGTAAGCACTGGACGACCGTTTCGTTCTATTATGTGGGACTCTTCAACAATGCGAATCCACGATCCTGCACCTATATTATACCAAAAATATAATATTGAATAAAGCTAATAATAATAATAATAATCTTTATAGATGTATGTCTTACCATATTCTAATACTTTCCCCAATTCACTCATTCATTCATTCATTCTATCATTCATACATTCCTATAATGGTATATGTTAAAAGTGACCAATCAAATTTTAGGAAAAAATCTATATAAATATTAGTTATTAGATATTCTCCTATAAAAATTATATTTTTTTATTAAGAATATTTAAATTAACTACTTATAACAGTTACATTAGTAGTAGAGATATACATAACTTCTCAGTGTTCTAATTGTGTATTCAATTAATTGTAAGTTATTAATTATTAATTAATTATATTATTATTATATATATGGTTTATATTCATTTGATGTTGTTGGTTTGTATGTCCCCATTGTTGATTAAGGTTGCAATTGATCAGTCTTTTATTGGCATATGTGCATCGTGAACGGATTGCCTCAATATTGACTTAAGTCATAGGCTTTATAAGCAAAGATGGATAGTGGCTAACAGTGGAATCCAGCATTCACGTTTCGTTCTATTTGAGACTTGTCAGCTGGATTTACCTCTACATCTCAAAGTTGATGTTCACAAACAAACATCTATCAGAAGCCAGTAGGTAAATGGATAACATGATGTGAGTTTAAAGCGGACGGTACTGAGTTCAAGTTCTAGAGTGAACATCAACTCCTGAGATTCATATACATCTAGCTGATGAGTCTCAAATAGGATGAAAACGTGAGTCTTGGATTCTATTACTAGCCATTATTCATTTTTGCAAATATGATTTATATTTTGTTCTTAACAAAATCTAATGTAAATTATTCATAAAACTGAATTTGTAGTTAAATAATTTGAAAAAAGTTAACACAAAGACCTTTGATAGTATTTCATTTGCGCTAATATTAGAAATTTTCTGGTAAGCGTTTTTTTAGCGAGTTGATTTTCTACGGGATGGGGTCGCTAACCCCATGCCCAACCCTCCTCCTTTACCCGGGTTGGGACCGGCAGTAACCCCCAGAGGAGCTACAGGCGGTGGAAACCTTTACATATCTGCGCAGCATCATTGATGAACACGGTGGATCAGATGCAGATGTGAGGGCGCGGATCGGCAAAGCAAGAGCAGCATACTTACAACTGAAAAACATCTGGAGCTCAAAACAATTGTCAACCAACACCAAGGTTAGAATTTTCAATACAAATGTCAAGACAGTTCTACTGTATGGGGCGGAGACGTGGAGAACTACAAAGTCATCATCCAGAAGATACAAATGTTTATTAACAGTTGTCTACGCAAGATACTTCGGATCCGATGGCCAGACACTATCAGCAACAAGTTACTGTGGGAGACAACAAACTAGATTCCGGTGGAGAAAGAAATCAGGAAGAAGCACTGGAAGTGAATAGCACACACATTGAAGAAATCACCCAATTGCTTCACAATACAAGCCCTCACATGGAATCCTGAAGGTCAAGTGGGAAGAGGAAGACCAAAGAACACAATACACCGAGAAATAGAGACAGACATGAGAAGAATAAACAAGAACTGGATAGAACTAGAAAAGGAAGCCCAGGACAGAGTGGGTTGGAGAAAGCTGGTCGGCGGCCTATGATCCATTGGGAGTAACAGGCGTAAGTAAGTAAGTAAGTAAGTAAGTAAGTAATATTAGAAATCTTTGTGAGGTAATGTCACTCTCATGAAAATTCAAATATATATATATATATATATATATATATATATATATATATATATCATGCCAATATAGAATTCAATCTGATCTATAAACTTTAATACTTTTCGTCTAAATTAAAACGAATAGTTTCACAGTATTTAAGTGCCAAGTTGATGTAAGGAATTACATCCCTTGAAAAAGCCTAAATCAGATTATTAGATGAAACGTTGGATTTTTACTTTAAATTCATTTTCTAAAATTTTACAAATACAAATTAATTGTATAGCAATCATCAACTTAATATCAAAGTATTACAGTTTTTGTTTTGTTTTTTTTTGGTTTATTATTGAGTAAGTGTTTAACCAAAACAGAAGAACATGACTAGTTGTTTCAGTTGAAATTCTAACAAATCAAACTACAAGTCGGCTTATAGATTATGGTCTTTGTCTTAGCAACCATATGATCATTTATAGTCCATTTTGATGATTACCATTTGTCATCGACGTTAAAAAAACAGTGATCATTTATTGGTCATTTCATGTGTGAAAGATAAAAGAATATGCTGTTGTGAACAAGAGTATCAGTAGGGGCAATCAAATGTATTTTATTATAACATAACAGAATATTATAGTTGAGATCATGAATCATTTCGAAGCTAGACCATTATGGAAAACCTAGAAGCACTCGACTCCCATTTCGTCCTCTTATGGAGCTCTTCAACAATGAGCATTCACTATTCCGCATCGCGAAATTTGAATCCAGGACCTAACAGGCTCACGCGTGAGCACTTAACCAATAGACCACTGAGCTGGTATCCAATGACGCGAGACTAATAAATCCTAGGTTCTAATCTCGCGAAGCAGGATCGCGGACGCGCACTGCTGACGATTCCCACAATAGGACGAAACGGGCGTTGAGTACTTTCATGTTTCTCACGGTGGTCTAGCATCAATTCACTCATGATTTCGAATATCAAATTACTGAAATCATAACAAAACTCCTTCTGATAAATTTTTGTACGTCAAGTAGTCAACTGGTTAAAACTTATGAATTCATTATTATACTGAGAATGAAAATTAATTTAATATTTTTTATTTAACTAAAAATACAGACTATATTACTATATTACTCATTTAAATTTCAAACTGAGATGAATGAAACATCATTGTTATTTTATAATTGAAATCATCAGTCATTTGAAGTTAGACCATTATGGAAAACCTGGAAGCACTCGACTCTTGTTTCGTCCTATTATGGGATTCCTCAGCAATGTGCATCCACTATTCCATCTGGCGAGATTTGAAACCAGGACATATCAGTCTCACACGTGAGCGTTTAACCACTAGATCACTGATCTGTTAATGTTTAACTTCAATCGATTCATGTAATTGAATAAACATTTACCATTGTCTTCAGTGAGATGATATTTCACAACAGACCTGGTTGAATTCCACTGGTCCAGTGCTTTCAGGATTTCCACGGTTGTCTAATTTCAAATGGCTCATGATTTCAACTATAAAATTACTAAAATCTCCACAAAACCCCCTTCAGATATTATCATTATCAGTAGTCTATTTTTTTTTTAGAAAATATTTGTCTGTCTACCCTTAAAAACAAAAAAACAAACAATGAATTGACTGAAAAACTAAAATCAAAGTTTTATCTCTGGGAAATATGTTTCCATAGGATAAGTTATACTACAGGGAAACAATAACTAATCTTCAATTCTTAGTTATTAAGTAATTTCGCCGTAAACAAAAAGGAAAATATTTGACATAAGGGTATATCCTGAATAGAAATAAAATTCAAAATTCATTGATCTCATCATCTATTATTAATAGAATACATCTTTAAGATCAGTAAAGATACAAAAAGATGATATTCAAATAACTGTTGTGTAATAATTTAAAAACTCAAACTAGAATAAGAATTTTCACAGTTGAAATCATGAGTCAATTGAAGCTAGACCACCATGGAAAACCTGGAAGCACTGGACAGCCGTTTCGTTTTATTATGGGACTCCTCAGCTTCAATTGACTCATGATTTCAACTGTGAAAATACTAAATTCTCCACAAAACCCCCCTCTGATCTATAATCATATGCACACTAGTGACTGACTTCAAGAGATATTTCCTTAAGTTCTAGTGGGAAGCAGTGGCCAGTGGAGTTCTACCAGGTCTGTTGTAGAGATATCATCTCACTGGAGACAATTGGTGAACGGTCGCTCAAAATCATGGATTGGTTGAACTTAGACATTAACACCGTTGGATGCCAGCCGGATCAGTGGTCTATCGGTTAAGGGCTTCGGCTCGAGACTGGTAGGTCCTGGGTTTGAATCTCGCTCGCGAGAGCGGGTTCGTGGATGCGCACTGCTGAGGAGTCCCATAATAGGACGAAACGGGCGTCCAGTGCTTCCAGGTTTTCGATGGTGGTTTAGCTTCAATTGACTCATGATTTCAACTGTGAAAATACTAAATTCTCCACAAAACCCCCTCTGATCTAGAATAAGAATGACAATATTGTGGTATGTACTACTGATATCGACAGATATAAGTAGTATGTATCATTCATCAAAAGTGAAATACCAAGTTGTAGAAGGTTAAGAAGATTGAAGAAAACAGAAAGAGAACAGATGGTGATTGCTGTGAAAATGAAGAAATAATGAAGTCTGAGACGTTTGATTGATATTTCGCATATGAAGTATTTACTGTATGATTATCAGATTTTACTAAGATGTTCTGTAATTCCGTATTCCAATACATTTGATTGTCCCCTACTTGTGTTTTCGTTCACTACAATATAACTATAAAATTTTATATTACATTCTATAATCTATGACACAGTAAAGAACTATATACATATATGGGAATTCTTTCATTCGGTTACTGGAACATTCACCCATACGTACTTTAGAAGTATTATGAACATCTTAACTAATTCATATTCTTATTCTTCCCTTTATTTAAATCTCAAAAAGAATTCCCAAACAGTTATGACAAACATTTTTTATTTCTCTCTTGAATCACCCCTTAACAACAGAATGATCTAATAACTTAATGAAACTAGTAATAATATACAAATTAGCTTATTAGATTAGTTATTACAATCATGTTATAACTTGTGACCTGTGTGCCCTGTTAATGTATAACGTGATAATACCGTCAATTAGAGAGCAGAGATTTGTCGATCGGATCAATGACACATACAACCTGTACGAGTAGTCTAGAATACTTATCGATCCTGTTTTCTGCCTAACGCAGTCAGTGAAGTCCAGAACACCATTTTCATCATCTGCGGTATGAAGTTTTATACTTCAAACATACTGAGTTAATATACTAATCAAACTGATCACATCGTACCATAAAATAAGAAAATAACATTTGTACAAGATTCAGCCAAATGTGATTGTGAATAAAGGAGATAGTAATTGATAGACAGGGGATAAGTCATGAATGATAAATCGTATAATAATAGTTCATAGGTTAAGATAAAGCTTATAATAAGAGCGACATGAATATAAATAGTTTAGTTACTTAACAATGATACAATAGGAAATATACGCATAGTGTCGGTCTATAAATAGATCCAAAAAGTTACCATTCATTATTCTTATCGAAATATAACAAAACGTTTCTTCTAATAGACAATAGTCAAACTTTAAAATTAAACTTGCTAATTATAAGCGATTAAAGATAATACTAACAGGTTCACAGTAATGAAGCTGCTTGTAAGCTGCTTACAAGCATTTTTCATCCAACTCTGTCCTGTGTAATCCATTCTAGTCCTTTTCAATTGTTTTTGATCCTTTTTATGTCTGCTTCCAATTCTCAATCTCAGTTTTCATCATGAGGTTTCATAATTTTTCCTTCAACAACTAGCGTAGAGTTTATTTGGTTTATATTGTTTATCCTGGTTAGAGTTTTTCTTTTCAGGAAGGTTTTTTTCTACGGGATCAGGTTGCCTACCCAATACCCAACCCTCCTTCTTTACCTGCGTTTGAGACCGACAGTAACCCTAAAAGAGCTACAGGTGGAGTTCAATAGTTATCTTAGTTAAGCTTAATTAAGAGTTTACAAACCTACCATGAAGCAAAAAGTATGATTGAATGAAAACTTTTTTAGAACGTTTGTTTATAACTTATAAAAGATTAGTTTTTTCTTAAAATATGAACCAGATCAAAACATCTCCCTGTAATTAAGTGACCTTATATCGTAGATCTAATATATTGTGGTCGATTTATTTCTTATAAGATTAACATTTTATATGAGTTAAATTCATCGAGTACATAATCTTGAAGCTATAATATTCATCAGGTAATGTCCACTAACGTTAAATGCGTTTGTTTAACGGCCATCGTTGTTGAACATCACAGATTATAATTTCTAACTTTAGTTACAAGAATACATTTTGTTTTTCTTTTAAAATTAAATAAATTATTGTCGGAATCAGGGTTTGTGGATATTGTAGTAATTTAAGCTGTGATCAGTGGAAATCGACGGTGTCTGTTGTAGAGGCAGTTACTCATTGAAGACAATTGGACCGCAAAATTTCGTGGATTGATCGAAGTTAGACATTAACACCGCTGGATTCTGGATCGGTATTCTAAAGGTTAGGAGTTCGTGCACGTGACCGAAATTCCTGGGTTTGCCCTCAAATGCCCTGGTACGGTCGGTGGTTTGGAGAATCTACCTCTCCCTCAACAAATGCTCTCACACTGTCACATGCATACAGCCCCTACCAAAGAAGTCTTACTCACTACTTTCTCATGAAAGAGGTGTTGGATATGAGATTGAGAGGACGAAAAGTGAATATTCTGCGATTTAGCAGAGTTAGTGGATATGGATGATCCACCCAGAGGAGTTGGAAAACCCTGATTCCAAACGAGTGGTGTATAGGGAATCAAGTATCCTGGGGAAACAAAAGGCATACGAACCTAATTTTAGCCACAGACTACTGTGAGACTGCATCTAATTACGTTACTCTACTGCCTTGTGGATTAGACCTGTAGGTCAAAGGATCGGGATGTGATTCCCTAAGAAAACCACCTAATTCAGTCTAGGCGTACCAATATTTATGTGTTCAAATAAATAAGGGTCAAGACAATTTTCAAATACGAATCAAACGAAGTCCGAATGTGTTCGTTTTGATTTGATTTACAATAATAATCTTTTCCCTCCAAAAAATGTTTCATATCTTACATAATACTATTAAGAATATTCCATTACTATGATGAATAGCTTTTATTAAATATAACAGTAATATAGATTTATTACGTTCTATGAAATCTTAATGTAACTACCCACTAGTGACTGGCTCAATGAGGTATTTCCTGGAGTCCTAGTGAGAAGTCGTGATCAATGGAGCTAATCCATGTCAGGTAGAGATAGATATCTACCTCAGTACAATAGAAGTTGGTCACGCAATTTGGTGGATTGGTTGAAGTTAAACATTAATACCGTTGGATGCCGGTCGAACCAGTGGTCTACCGGTTAAGTGCTCTGGGGTGAGACTGGTAGATCCTGGGTTCGAATCTCACGAGGTGGAATTGTGGATGCGCACTGCTGAGGAGTCCCATAATAGGACGAAACGGTTGTCCAGTACTTCTAGGTTTTCCATGGTGGTTTAGCTTCAATCGATTCATGATTTCAACTATATAAAATTATAATAATATCATAACAGTAAGATATAAAGAAGAAAGTAGATTTATGATCAAATCAATTAGTTTACTTTTTAATAGGATATCAATGCTAAAGTTGAACTTGTTAATTTCAAATAAATAAAAAATTGATCATTACATGGAAAGTTAATCATAAATATCCCTTCTTCTTTTTGATTTCTATCCTAATGAGTTGAATGCTTCTAATGTTTCGTGACTTAATTTAGGCCACTTCTTTAGAATAAATAAATAATTGAAATAAAATGAACACAAGTTTAAATAGTACAAAAGGAAATAATGCGTTATTTATTTACTTTGAAGAAGTGACTTATATTAAGTCACGAAACATTGGATATAGAATCGTTCTACTCATTAGGATGTAACGTAGAAATATACTCATTAGTCTAGTTAGATAATTAAAAGTACTTAAATGAGAATCAAGACTAGGATAAACAAACACTCATGAATATGTAACCGTTTATAGTTAAGTGTTATTAAGTAATATAAAGATTATAAGCAAAGATGGTTGGTGGTTAGTGGTGGAATCTAGTTTGACACGCGTTTTGTCTTATTTGGGACTCGTCAGATGGATGTATCTGCCACATCTCAGAGTTGATGTTCACACTGGGACTCGAACACAGTACCTTTCACTCCAAACACCATCGCATTATTCACTCAGCTACTGAGTCCTGATAGCACACTTGCTTGTGCAATGGGGTGAAGTTTAAATTCACTTGGTATTGTTTTTTTTAAATCTTCCCATTGATGTTTAGTACTGCAACTTGTCAGTCTCTAATTGGCATATGTGTATAATGTGCGTATTGCCTCGATATAGCCTGAATTCACAAGAATTGTAAGCAAAGATGGATAGTGGATAGCAATGGAATCCAAGACGCGCGTTTCGTCCTATGCACATATGGACAACAAGAGACAACAAATATATGTGCCACACAAATCATTCGATTTACCCGGGCGCATAAACCGAGCCTTTGACCTAAAGGTCTTATCCACAAGGCAGTGGAGCAACGTAAGGGGATGCAGTACCATGGTAGTCGGTGACTAACACTGGGTTCATACTTCTTTTGTTTCCCCAGGATCCTGGAGTCCTAGTAAACCATTAGTTTGGAATCAGGATTTCCTAACTCCTCAAGGTGGATGTTCCATATCCACCAACTCTGCTAAATCACAAGATATTCACTTCTCGTCCTCCCCATTCCATAAACAACACTTTCATCACGAGAAGGCAGCGATTAGTACTTCTCTGGTAGTGGTTGTATCCACGTGGCCATGTGAGAGCATTTGTAGAGGGAGAGTTGGATTCTCTCCACCCTCGACCGTACCAGGGCATTTGAGGGCTATTTGATTCCAGTGAAATACATTATATCCTGACTAGGAATAAATAGAACAATTCTACATATATGTTATATAACTTATTTAAATACCACGACGATCGTCTTACAACGTTTAAAGCGTTCTTGAAGTTAACATGTAACTCTTTTTTTCAGGAAATTAGTTGAAATACGGGTATCATTATCAAGGTTTGACTTGACGACTTCAAATAAATTGGGCATTGGGTAGGTTGTTATCAATAAGATTATTAATATATTTGTAATATCCTAATGAGTATGAAAATTAGATTTTCTGACGTTTCGTAACTTAATTTAGAGCACTTCTTCAGAGCATTAGTAACTAAATTCAAATTAATCCAAGTTTAACTTGCACAAAAGGATAAAGCAAGAATAGTAGGTACGATCAATCAAGAACACTCAATATCCATCCAACTTGGACTATCAATACAAGCTACCATATCTGATATCATTCACATTTCACACTATTATTGTACATACAAATTATACTCTATTCTTTCTCACCACAGAGGTCACATTTTTTTCATTCCTGACCCTGTACACATACTCACATAAAAATTTACATATATGTCGATTATAAATCACCTTGAGTGGAATGACATGACATTGACTTCTTCAGATCTGTTTTTTTGATTGATCGCATTTAATTTTCTTGCTTTGTTCCTTCGTACCATTTAAAATTGAACTAGTTTTGATTTAGTTACTTATTCATACTCTGAAGAAGTGACTTACACTGAGTCACGAAACGTCAGAAAATTCAATTATTCTACAGATTGGGATGTTACAACTATATTATTATATCATTTATAACTGAAATGCTTTTTTCTCCGAAGTTGTATTGTTCTCGCAAAAGGTCGTCTTGTTTTAGTGATATAGTCTAGAAAAATATATGTTTACAATACTAACATGCTTACTGTTTATCAGTTTTATACTTTTCTATTTTCATCTACTTTACTTACTTACCTACTTACATACTTACTTACTTATGCCTGTTACTCCTCGTGGAGGAACAGAATACTCCCATTAGCATTCTTCATCCAATTCTGTCCTGAGCAATCTTTTCCAATTGTTCCCAGTTGATATTCATTCTTTTCATATCTGCTTACAATTCCCAAAACAATGTTTTCCTTGGTTTTTCCCTTTTCCGCTTCCCTTCAGGATTATAAGTTAGAGCTTGCCTCGTGATGGAGTTTGATGATTTTCTCAATGTGTGTCCTATCCCCCTTCAACGTCTTTTCTTAATTTCTTATTCAATTAATAGCTGATTTGTTTCCTCCTATAGTAGGCTGTTGCTGATGATATGTAACCAATGGACATTGAGTATCTTGTGTAGACAATTGTTTATAAATACTTGTACACTTTTGATGATGGTTGTATTAGTTCTTCACGTTTCAGCTTCCTACAATAGAACTTTCTTGATATTCATAGAGAACAACCTTGCAAAAAAACTGTTTTTAACTGAGAGGAATAACTTGTTTATTGTTTTATTATTTTCATTAGTTTCTTCAATCATATCAGTTGGTTCAGAAAACTGTCTTAGAGTATTTTAGTCGATTTTCAAGAAATTTCGGATAGTCAGGAGGGGTTTTATGGAGATTTCAGTATTTTCATAGTTGAGATCGTGAATCAATTGAAGCTAGACCACCATGGAAAACCTGGAAGCACTCGACTCTCGTTTCGTCCTATTGTGGCGCTCTTCAGCAGTGCGCATCCACGATCCCGCCTCACGAGATTCGAACCCGGGACCTATCAGTCTTGCGCCAGAACACTTAACCGATAGACCACTGATCCGGCTGGCATCCAACGGTGTTAATGACTAACTTCAACCAATCCACGAAGTTGAGCAACCGTTATAAAGTTAATTTAGTTAATATCTCAAGAATCATCAGCCTTATACTCTTACAATCTGAACTTAGTCACTATTAAGTGATTCATTTCAGTCAAGGAATTTCTATCTTGTTGAAAATCATATTGTTATATTATCCCGTAAATACTTAAAACCTTTCGCCATACTGAACATTCCCCTTTTTTTTCTTCTCATTTAGATTACCAAACAATGATTAAATCAATTTTAATCTTATCAATATTGTCTATTGTATTTTCATTTGTCAACGTTAAATGTGCCGTGGCGTCACCTGAGAGTGATATGGAACGTTACCCTTATGATTTAGCTTATATACATGATGAACCTGATCCATATTATTTTCCAACTCCACGTGATTCATTAATTCGACGTCTTATGAAGCGAAAATATTATATATCACAAAGACTTGGTAAATAAAAAATCTACACAATGTAGTACTAACCACATTCGAATCATAATGTAGACCACATTATAACATTAAACAGATAATCATTTTATTCATATAGAGTATATATTTATAGTTGCCAAGGCAACCAAATTGCAAAGAAACAATGATTATATAATAATAATAATTGTATTATGATCAAAAACTGCTAAATATAAACGTTTAAAGATATATAAAGCTTTATCTGACTTATTTTTACTGAAGTACTAGTGTACATGAGCTAAGTAATTCATTGCGGTGTTCTGGATATTTGAGGTTTTTGAAGTTATACTTGTTAGAATCGATTGTCTTATTTCGATTAAAATCAACTTTCAGAAGCTCACAATTCCACCCCGTGAACGTGATTTAGTGACTTCAAGAGATATTTCTTTGAGTTCTAATGGGAAGCAGTGATCAGTGTAGTTCAACCAGATCTGTTGTGAGATATCAACTCATTGAAGACATTGGTGAATGGTTGCTCAGTTTCGTGGATTAGTTAAAGTTAGACATTAACACTGTTCGATGTCGGCTCAGTGGTCTATCGGTTAAGTGCTCGCGCGCGAGACTGTTAGGTCCTGGATTCGAATCTCGCGAGGTGGGATCCTGGACGCGCACTGCTGAGGAGTCCCGCAGCAGAACGAAATGGCCATCCAGTGCTTCCAGGTGTTCAATGATAGTCTAGCTTCAATTTACTCACGAGTTCAACTATGAAATAAAGTGGGGAAATCATTAGAACCCCAGCGTCTTGATGCACAGGCGTCGCACCAGGAGTATATGTAACTTAAATGCATACCGTTAACACATAAAATTACACCTATACATCCCATGGCATACACATAGGTATATTCACCCTGTGAGAAAATATACGTTACATGCACACCGGCAATACATGAGATTTCACTCTACCCCATACAGCATAAATATAGGTATCCTCCTTCATCTGGGATAGTAGATGGTCATCGCTCCCATCAAACGTATTTAGTACAACCTACTGTCTCTCGAGCATTGCATACATACTAATGGTTGAAAGATTTTCGTGCATAGACTTCATGAAATATAAATAATCATCAGCATTCTTTCAGAGAAACTTTTCTCAAGAAACAAGATTTCTCTTAGATATTTCACTCACTAGTATTTGATCATCATTTACATGAAATTAAAATGTACAGTTTATATGACAGCTAGTTTTCTTTAACTGCTTTACTAGTTATAGTACAAAGTTTTGATTATCATTGTAATGAACGACAACATAAGTGGGGATAATTAAATGTATTTGAATACAAAATTATAGAACATCTTAGTAAAATCTGAGAACCATACCGTGAATAAATCATTTGAAAAATGTCAATTAATAGTCTCAGACTTCATTGTTTCTTCCCTTCCACAGAAATCATTCCCAGTTCTCGTTCTGTTTTATTCGATCTTCTTAACCTTCTACCACTTGATATTTCACTTTCAATGAATGATACATCCTACTTATATCTATCGATATCAATAGCATATACCACATTATTGTTAATTATTCAACCATTCTGTTGTATAATAGTCTCAACTGATTAAAATCATTCTTTTATCTAAGAAAAAATCTATACAAAGAATGAACATATGGTAATAGAAGTTGACATTTGATAAAATGATCACATATCTAGTTTTTATAAAGCTAGACAATATAATAACGTAGATAACAGTTGGATAGTAGTAATAGTAGTAGTAATAGTAATAGTAGTAGTAGTAGTAATAGTAGTAGTAGTAGTAGTAGTAGTAGTAGTAGTAGTAGTAGTAGTAGTAGTAGTAGTAGTATTAGTAGTAGTAGTAGTTATCCAAGAGTAACTAAAGATATTAAGCTTTACAGTTAATAGAATATCTTTGATTGTTGTTTGAGTTAGGTAAAATATTTGTTCAGAATTATAGATATTGAAAAATTCTTTATTTTCAATGGTATTATGTATCTATTAGCTTAATAGAGATCAAATCTAACACAGAAGGTTTCCTAATGAATGTTTAACATTATAACCATAGTCAATCAGTCATTCACAATGTAGAACTTTGTATGTATGTACATCAGTTCGAGTTGTCATACCACATTAGCACAGAAATGCAGTTGTCGATTCAAATCCCATAGTAATAGAAATAATTAGAGTATAAACATTATGTGAAAGATTAGGGTTTGAAGATATTATTCAAGGGTTATAATCTATTGAAATAAGTTTGGAAAGAGAAAAAAGATAGAAACATGAAGAATTCAGAAGATTAGAATTTGGATGAACACAAAGAGTGGATGCACCCTCGTCATTGCAAACGATTTTGAGCCATGTCATTCAAGGTGTCTAACCATCGATTGCTATCATCTCGAGAATCCCAACCAGGTATTCTACACCTACCAGCATGGTTCAGTCCACTTGTCAGTGACTTCATGGATCTGTGCTAGGTTTTAGTCTGGCCGGCCCCCTACTATCAAATAAATTGAACATTAGGTAGAGAGTTAACAATAAATGTTGACATTTTCTTATATCACAATGAGAAGAAAAATTGTATTTCTGACATTTCGTAACTTAATGTAAGTCACTTCTTCAAAGTAAATAAATAACCGAAATTCATGTCCGTTGACTGGATCTCATCAGTAGCAGCTTACTATGGGATGGAATGCAGGTTTGATCGTTCACGTAGTCTAGTAGTACGCGGCATAGTAAGAAATAAAGCTCTAGATATAACACTTATTTACTTACTTACACTTGTTACCCCTCGTGGAGAAGCATAGGCCGCACACCAGTATTCTCCATCCAACCGTATCCTTAACAATCCTTTCCACTTCGTCCCAGTTGTTATTCATCCTTCGCATATCTGCTTCTATTTCTCGATGTAATATGTTCTTTGGCCTTCCATTTTTCCGCTTCCCTACACTAGTTCAAGTTACGCATTGCCTCATGATGCAGTTCGGTGATTTCCTTATTGTACGTTCTATCCACTCCCAACGTCTTTTATTAATTTCCTCTTAAACTGGAATCTGGATTGTTCTCTTACACAGTAGGCTGTTGCTGATGCCATCCGGTCAAACAATATCGAGTATCTTACGTAGATAACTGTTTATAAATACTTGTACATTCTTGACAATGGTTGTAGTAGTTCTCCACGTTTCAGCTCTGTACAGTAGGACTGACTGTCTTGACGTTCGTATTGAAGATTCTCACTTTGAAATTGGTTGACAATTGTTTCGAATCCCATATGTTCTTCAATTGTAGAAATACTGTATTTGCTTTGCCAATTTTCGCCTTTATATCTGTATCCTATCCTCCTTGTTCATCAATGGTGCTTCCCAGATACGTGAATGTTTCCACTTCTTCCAGAGTTTTGCCATCAAGTGTGATTAGGTTGATGTTCTCCGTGTTGTATTTAGGAATCTTGCTTTATCCTTTGTGTATGTTGAGGCCTATTAATTCAAAGGCTGCTGCTACATTTGTTGTCTTCATCTGTATTTGTTCGTGTGTATGAGATAAGAAGAATAGGTCATCAGCGAAGTGTAAATCTTCCAACTGATTCTGAGATGTTCATTGTATTCCGTGCTTCCTCTCAAATGTGGAGGTCTTCATAATCCAGTCAATCACAAGAAGAAAGAGTAAGGCAGAGAGTCGAAAGCCTTGTCTGAATCCGTTCCTTACAGACAATAAAATTCATACTTTAGACAAGTATTTAGTGAGTACTTAACTTTAAACATGTGAGTTTATAAATAGAAAACGTTAAAAACATATGAACATTTACAAAAACAGAAAAACTAACAGCTTCTTTATGCCAGTCATTGTATAATGTTTTGTTAAATTTACTTGAAACTGAATTACTTAGTTAAAGCAGTAGACAATTGATTTCTTTTCTCCTTGATGGAGAAATTCTAGAAAAAATGCAAACATTGACTTATCTGGGTAGCATCATTCATAAACAAGGAGGAACTGATGCAGATATAAAGGTTAGTATTGACAAAACAACAACTGCATTCATATAATGGAAGAACATATGTAACTCAAAACAACTGTATACAAGCCAATATCAAAGTTACAATCTTCAATACGTATGTCATGACAGTTAGTTTCATTGTACGCAGCTAAAGCTTCAAGAAGTACCACAACCATCATCAAAAGTATTTATAAACAATTATCTACACAAAATACTGAATGTCTGTTGACCAGAAACTTTCAGCAACAGCTTTTTATGGGAGAGGACAAACTAACTTTCAGCTCATTAAGAAATTAGGAAAAGATGTTGAAAGTAGATAGGACATATATTCAGAAAATCATCAAACTATATCATAGGACAAAACCTGAATTGGAATCCTGAAGAAGAAAAAAAACGAAAAATTGGGAGACCAAATAACACACTAAGTCAAGTATTAAAAACAGACATGAAAAGAGTGAATAACAACTGGGAAGGATTTTCCATGACAGAGTTGGATAGAGAATGCTAATATGCACTGTAAAATTACATTAAGCTGTCCTATAAACAGTAAATACTGATCATAGTATATTCCATGCAAATATTCTGCTCCACCATGAAGGAGTGACAGACTTAAGTAAGTAACTAAATAAGTAATAAATTGTAAGTTTTCTACTTCAAAGACTACAATTCAAACAACAACAAAAAAGAAGATTGAATTCACTTAGTATTGTTTGTTTGGATCTTCCCATGGATATTTAGGACTGCAACTGGTCAGTCTCTAATTGGCATATGTGCATACTGTGCGTATTGCCTCGATATACCTTAATTCACAAGCATGGTAGGCAGAGATGGATAGTGGCTAGCAGTGGAATCCAGTTTGACGCGCGTTTCGTCCTATTTGGAACTCGTCAGCTGGATGTACCTGCATCTCAGAGTTGATATTCACTCTGGGACTCGAACCCAGTACCCTCGCTTCAAACGCCATCGCGTTATCCACTCGGCCACTGAGTCCTGATAGCCTATCAGGACAGGCTATCAGGAAGAAAAAAGAAAAAAGAAGATTGCCTATCCATTATAAACATAAAATTACTTCAATAGGAATAATTAATGAATCATGTCATAAATAATGCTTTATGATAACGATTTAATTCTATTACAGAAACGAGTTGTTGTTGTTGTTTTTTCTCCCAATAATTAATTAATGGAATTCAATTATTATCATATAGACAGATCTAGAACGATGAATATTGAAAATGATGATGTACGACATTTTGTATCTTTGGTAGTTAGTTTAGTTTAGTTTATCGACACAATACATACGTAGAAATAGTAAAATAATTTTAAAAGAAAAGTATCATTATGAATTGAAAACCTGGAAACATCAAACGGCTGTTTCGTCCTAGTATAGGACTCCTCAGTTGTGCGCATCCCTGATCCAGCACTTGAGATTCAAATTCAGGATCTTTAGTCTTGTATGCAAACGCCTAAGCTCGGTTCAAATCGTTGGGAATCACTAATGAGGAGTTCCGTACTAAGATGAAACGACCTCTCAGTACTTTCAGCTTTTCAATGGTGATCTAATATTCGTCGATCCATGATCATGATTATTATAATGTGTAATAAATTCAAGAAATCCATTTCTTTTTACAAACAACATGATCTGAAAATAACGTTATTCTAAACTCTACTATCTTAATTAATGTATTAGAAATATCAAAGATTAATGATAGATCATTCCCTAGTATTTGAATTCACTATCAGCAACAACCTACTGTGGGAGAGAACAAATCATAATCCAGTGGAGGAAGAAATCAGGAAGGGGCGTTGAAAGTGAATAGGACACACATTGAGGAAATCACCCAACTGCGTCACAAGATGAGCGCTCACATGGAATCCTGAAGGTCAAAGGAGAAGAGGAAGACGAAAGAACACATTACACCGAGAAATGGAAACAGACATGAGAAGAATGAACAAAAGTTGTATAGAACTAGAAAGGAAGGCCCATGACAGAGTGAGTTGGAGAATACTGGTCGGCGGCCTATGCTCCATAGGGTGTAACAGGCGTAAGTAAGTAATGTATTTGAATTAGTGACACTAAAACTTGGTTTTGTACTCCATTGGAGTCATACGTTATTATAAAACGCTATTTTGTATATTTCAAGGATTGTTTACATAACTTCAGTCATTGAAAAAAACTGTAAAACTACATTAAGCTGTTCTATAAACAATGAATACTGATTATAGTATATTCCATCTCATTGCAACATATGTAGGGAGTGTTCGTGTCCAACTTTAAATTTTCACAATATTCAAAATTATTATGACAGATCACCAAGAGTAAATATCATATTCGGTCACATATATACACCCATACGGTTGTAGTATCTTCTCATTTATTCAGTTGGCTCTGTGTCTTGTTGTTGACCAAATTATAAATCCAGGCGAGACTATAATTTATAGATGAACCAATCAGATACAAGATAAAAAGTCTTGGATTTCGGTATGAAATTCATTCATCCATTTCGATAAACAGAGTTTCGGCATTATAGCTGATGTCAGTTCGTGGTGATAACCCGAAATTTAAGTTCTAACTTTAATCATCAACTGTAAATCATAATTCTGATTCCCCACGCAGGTTTATAACCCTCATTTTGTCCTAGTTACTAGGTGGACACTCTCAAGGTCACTTTAACGTCGCTCAAAGGTTGTCCATAAATTATAAACTCACTATAATACACATTAAAAATACTGTTTATCTTTAATATGTTCTTTCACAATAAGACACCATTCAATGATATCTAACATGAGACAAATGTTATCGATGTTAACAATGTGATAGTCGTATAATATCATAAATCGACTAAAGTTGAAAATTTGAACTACTATAGGATTATTCAATAGTTTAAAGCTAAAATCTATATCGTAAAGTCAGAATATATAACAGAAAGGGGGTTTTGTGAAGATTATAGTAATTTTATATAGTTGAAATCATTAGTCAATTGAAGATAGATCACCATGGAAAACCTGGAAGCATTGGACAACCGTTTCATCCTATTGTGTGACTATTTCTTAGCAGTGAGCATCCACGATATCAATTCACTGAAGATAATTGGTGAATGGTTGCTCAACTTTGTGAATTGGTTGAAGTTAGACATTAACACCTTCGGATGCCGGCTCAGTTGTCCAGAAGTTAAGTGCTCGTACGCAAGACTGGCTTCGAATCCCATGAGGCGGAATGATAGATGCGCACTGCTGAACAGTTATCCAATACTCTGTCATATTCAATGATTGTATAGTTTACAGTTTATTTAATATAACTAATGAATCTAATATAAAGATATCTTAATAGATATACAAAAAAGAATATCATTCATTCCATGATTACAATTATAATTTGTATTCATTAGTAATGCAATGCAATGAGATGGGTTAGTTAGTTAGTTAGTTAATGAATTAATTATGGTAATTGATTTCCTTTCACTTACAGAAAATGTTGTCTACTTTTTTAATATAATTAAGTAGTTTTGTAATTTGTGTCCATTTTTTTCTTCCTTTGTAGGGTAAAAGATTAATCATCTGTAACTTATTTTGATTTGATAATAATAATTAATTATATATTCTTGTTATGTGTTCAACCTTATTTAATAGTAATAATGGTAATAATAATGAATAGTTTCATCAGGTATTTTCTAGTGTTCTAGTGAGAAGCCATGACTAGTGGAGTTTAATCCTATCTGTTGTAGAGGCAGTTACTTATTGAAGACAATGGTGGATGGTAGCACAATTTCATGGATTAGTTGAAGTTAGACATAAACACCGTTAGATGCCAGCTCAGTGGTCTAGAGGTTTAGTTTTACGTGAGTGAGACCGAAAGTCCTGGGTTCTAGTCACAGGGTGGGATCGTGGATGCGTATTGCTGAGGAGTCCCATACTAAGACGAAATAGCCATCCAATGGTTTCAGGTTTCCCATGGTTGTCTACTTTAATAGACTTATGAATTCAACTGCTAAAAAATCACTACAACCAACAGAAATCCCATTCGGACAGTTCAATTTTAATATGATGCTTATTGTAGCCCATTCATGTGAAAACTGTAAAGCTTGTAAGTATACTACTTACCATTTGTTGAGATAAAAGTAGCTCTTTAAAATGTGAGTGTGAATTAGTTATGAGAACCAGTAAGGAACATAATCAGCAAGTTTATTACATCTCACTGAACAATTATATATAATAGTCTGTTTTTATAAAATATGGTTGTTAGGTAACTGAAACCGCATCGGTATCGTTTTTATAAGGACCGGTAAAACTTTACACTATGTTGTAGAATAATGGTGGAGAGGAAGATGAATACAAATTAATTTTTCAATTAACTTACACATATATTAAGCGGAAGGAGAAGTCACCAGATGACTCTGTGCTGTATAAATTTCGACATAATTGACACACGTCAGTAAAAAACCTTAGGAATCTTGAAGAAGCTTATGGCTCCTATGTTCTTTCAACTGACTCTATTCAATGTATTAATTAAAGGTCTCTGAGTAATAACCTATCCTTTATGACACTTAGAACTTTATTCTGAATGATCGTTGTATGGTAACCATTTTCGTATATATTGAATCCTTTATGTCGATCGAATCCTATTGATTTGAATAACATGTCATTACTACACAAGTCACTTGATTTGTGTGTGGATTATTATACTGCCCTCACACCCAAAATGCAGCAGATGGTTTTATTGAAGGGCCATACCCGGAGCTTTAAACCTAAAGATCTAATCCATCAGGGTCTAGAGCAACGTCAGGAAATCCAGTCTCATGGTAGTCGGTCTATCAGTTAAGTGCTCTGGCGCGAGACTGGTAGGTCGTTGGTTCGAATCTCATGAAGCGGTATCGTGGATGCGCACTACTGAGGAGTCCCACAATGGGATGGAATGGCCGTTCAGTGCTTCCAGATTTTCCAGGATGGTCTAGCTTCAATCGACTCATGATCTCAACTATATAAAATTGTTTATTATGTTAGTTTCTAATTAGATTTACGCTGTATTGCGATCAAGTTATGTTATACATCAAAATTGATGCCCTTGATAAATAAATTCCCGCTAACAAACTAGTAAGAAAAGGATAGTCAAATTGTTTCGATGAATATAAATAGGTATATTTTTTTCTTGGTTAGCGTTTTTTAGCGAGTTAGTTTTCTACAGGATGGGGTCGCTAACCCCTTTGTCCAACCCTCGTCCTTTATCCGAGCTTGAGACTGGCAGTAGCCCCCGGAGGAGCTACAGGAGGAGTTTACATATCAGAAGTGGGTTTTGTGAAAGATTTTAGTAATTTTATATATTTGATATCATGAATCAATTGAAGTTAGACCATCATGGAAAACTTGAAAGCACTGAACAACCGTTTCGTCTTATTGTGGGACTCCATAACAGTGCGCACCCACGATTCTGTCTAGCGAGATTCAAACCCAGGACCTCGCTCTCTCTCTCTCTCTCTCTCTCTCTATATATATATATATATATATATATATATATATATATATATATTCCTATAGCAACAGTGTCCTAAGCATCATTACATAGACTGTTACAGGTCACAGGAATGTATGTTTTTTAAAAATTATTTTCTTAATTATAAACTAGCAGGCATTAAGTTAAATTACATTAGTTCATTATAATCATATATTAGTATATATTAATAATAATAATAATAATAACCGAATATTATCATTATACCCCTTTATATAATGAATTAAAATGACCCTAGTTCACGAAAACTTAACATGAGACATAAATCATCTTCTATAAGAATAGAATGATAATGGTAATTATATGAAGATCTTGTTAGAAAGGAGAAGAAAAAAAAACGAAAACTTTCACTGGGCTAATTATGTTTAGGTATTCAGGAAAAATTATCTTCTTTCAATAGAAATGATGTTGCTAATACGGAAAAAAGTAACAACTCATATGAACCTGTATTTAGTTGGTGTTGTTTAACTTGTATATTCTTATCGTTGCTTAAGACTGTAATTGATCAGTCTCTAATTGTCATATGTGCATCCTGTGCGAAGTGCTTCGAAATTGCCTGAGTTTACAAGTATACAACATCAAGTGAATTGAAACTTCATCCCATTGCACAAGAAATTGGCTATCAGGACTCAGTAGCAAAGTGGATAACGTGGTGGCATTTGAAGCGAAAGGTACTGGGTTAGAGTCCCAGAGTGAACATCAACCCTGAGATACAGGTACATCCAGCTGACTAGTACTAAGTGGGACGAAATGCATGACCTGGATTCCACTGCTAGCCACTATCCATCTTTGCTTATAATATGAATCCGGTTTTTCTTTCTGTTAATTTTCATTTTAGTAATTAAATTCTTGAATCGATGTAAAGTAGACAACCACTGAAGACTTGGAAGCACTGGAAGACCGTTTCGTCCTAGTATGGGATCCCTCAACAGTGTACATCCACGATCTCACTCTCAGCACTAGAACCCAGGACCTTTGGATGTCGGCTCAGTGCTCTAGAGGCTATACGTTCGTTCACGAAACCGAAGATTCTGAATTCCAACCCCATGTGCAGGATAGTGGATGCGCACTATAGAGAAGTCACATACAAGGATGAAAAGACCGTCAAAAAAGTGCTTTCAGGTTTTCTATAGTGATCCAAAATTGATCAATTCATGAATTCAAACATATTATTGATGCCAAAATATACATTATTCATTAAGATTTTAATAAAGTTATTTGTTTAAGTACTGTTTCGTTTAAATCTTCTAACTTCATACTTGATATTGTATTAGATTAAGTTTAATAAATACCCCATTGAATAACAATACAAAGTTTATATGTTCTGCATAGTGAGATCATAAATTCTAGGTTTGATAGAAAAATTATAATGTAACTATATACCATCTATTCTATACAATCGTATATATAAAATTTTTGTCAACCAGTGTCAGACAGAGCAGTTTGCTTTCTCCCTTTCATTTTCTTCTGGTGGTTGACTGGATTACGAGTACCTCCACATCTTAGGGGAAGAACTGAGTACAATGAATAGCCAACATGCAACTAAATGATTTGGACTTTGTAGATGACAAAGACCTTCTATCTCATGCACAACAACAAATGCAGATGAAGACAGCTAGTGTATTCGGCATCAAACGGTGTTAATATCTAACTCTAACCGATCCACGAAATTAAGCGACACATCCGCCATTGTCTTCAGTGAGTGAATTATCTCACAACAGACCTGGTTGAACTCCACTTGTCCGTCCAGTGCTTCCAGGTTCTCTATGGTGGTCTAGCTTTAACTGACTCATGATCACAACTATTAAAGCCACATTAAGTCACAAACTGTCAAAAACTTAATTTTCTACTTATTAAGATACTATAAATATAATATTCTCTGATTGTTATAAGACTGTAATTTGAGTTTTTATTGTGTATGTCTTATCAATTCAACTCCACCAGGAGCTCCTCTAGGACTACTGCCGGTCCCAAGCTCGGATAATGGTGGAGGGTTGGGAATGGAGTAAGAAACTCCATCTTGTAGAAAACTAACTCATCAAAAACAAACGCTAACCAGAAAAAAAGAATAATTCAAATATATTATCATTTTAATTAGTGACGAGAGTTGACAGTTATATGTAACAGTTTGTGAACGACTACTAACTAGTAATATCATGTTGAAATATTCACAATTGATCGATCACTGGGCGGTGATCAATGTCATGCATATCAAGTCCTTCCTAGTGCTGATCGAATGCTATCGATCAAGTTGCAATGTGACCACTAGTCTAGGTGGCTCAACACTGCGTGCACCATGTTGAGATAAGATGGTGGTCGGAGGTGGTCAACAGGAAACCCTGGACCCGCACGCAGTGTTGAGCCACCCAGACTAGTGGACAAATTGCAACTTGGTCGATAGCATTCGATCAGCATCAAGAAGGACTTGACATGCATGACATTGATCACTACCCAGTGATCAATCAATTGTGATTACATCTCAGTCCTACAGGAGATCGGTCGCAGTCCGAATAGCTCAGTGGTAACGTCTCTGATTGTGAAGCTTAGTGACACGGGATAGAATCCGTCAGGGAGCTCCAGTTCCATCAATATCACAGGTACACCTTGCTGACGAGTGCCAAGTAGCACGAAACCCTAGTCCAGGGTTTCCTGTTGACCATCTCCAACCACCATCTCATGCTGAAATATTCATTTGATGTAATTATGTCACAGTATTCATTAGTTGTTACGTCATTCAATAAATTATTATTCAAATAGTTTACTAATTTGCTTTCATTTAGAATATACAGAAAAGTAAATACTAACGTTATACAACTGATCATATTAGGAAAAGATAATCTATTTGTTATATCGATTGAATGCGTGCCCTGTTATGATATATGAGGTGATGATTCTCGCAAATGAGAAAAGAGTGAATTATCGATCAGAATAATGATACACAAAGTCTGTATGAGCAGTCTTGAGTACTTGTTAGTCCTACTTTCTGCCTAGCCCAGCCAGTTAAGTCCAGAACATCAATAACAACCTCAAACATACTGGGTTTATATACCAAACAAACAGACCACATCGTACCATAAAATAGAATATAACATTTGTACAAGATTTGGTGAAATGTGGCTATGAATAGGGGGAACAGTAATTAATGGACCAGGGATAACTCAAGAATGGGAAATCGTATAATAATAGTTCATAGGTCAAAATAAAGCTTATAATAAGAGGAATACAAATAAGGATAGTTTAGTTACTTAACAATTATACAATAGGAAATATACATATCATATTGGTTCATAGATGGTCCTCAAAAGTTACCATTCACAATTCTCTTCGGGATATAACTCCATTCATAATAGTTGAAGGAATTGATGATTTACATGTTCTTCTCTAATCTTTGATATGGAAGTTTAATTATAGATCAATAGTCAGAAACTAGCATGCGAACCATGATTTTTAAGCTAAAATACCTGAAAATTAGACGCTTATAGAGAGATCTGAATGTGAATAGTTCGATCCCCGGTAGGATGGTTGATGAGTATTGCTGAAAAAGTCCCATATTAAGAAGAAAAGTTGGTTTAATGTTTCATCTAACTAAGGTCAATCT